CTCTGGTAAGTAAATACAGGCTGATGCTCTTAAAGATCTCTGGCCTGTGAGCAGAGGGAGGACAAGACAGAGAGCACTCTTTATTCTTCTCCTGCCGGCACCAGTTCCAGCCGATCATCCGTTTATTTACCTCCGACACACGCTGAGCCGGTCTTTCTCACCATAGAGCACAGTCATTGAGCCACTGAGCCAGGCGCGACACACAGATGCCAGTGGACACAAAGACTTCTGACGGAGAGAAGGGGTGGGCAGGACGGATGGCATCATTTCTGGCCTCTAAATGATAAATTTGCACAGGGAATAGGATTGATTCTGTACATGTGGGTCAAAAATGGCTTGTGTAATGCCAGAAGAAGAGGTAAGGTGTATAGTTATGGATGAAAACATATATGAGCCATCTAAATACTGGAAGACAAAACCTTTGACTAACAGCAAAATCAAGGGTCTGAATAGAAAAAAAAAAAATCTATATAATAAGATAGACCGCCACACAATACAAGACACTCAACACAAACAAATCAGTGTCTCTATATATCTATAAACAGAAACCACGTTCGTCTTATCAACGTCCACTGTGAAATTGTGCCTAAACATTATTCTTTGATATGCAAAACAAAATAAGAGCCATTCTGACAGCTCAAGTGCATGCAAATGATCAGCTCTGGGTTCACCCTGCATTGAGAATAATTTGCATTTGCATCACACACCTAGACATCCACATTGTAAATACACATGTAGATCACATGCAGCAGGAATGTCCTGCATCTCAGTATTACTGCTGTATGAGTAGCCTACTAGATTTCGCTTCGTAATAGCAGGGGTGATGGCGCATGTTACTCATGCTTTCATGACTTAAAGAGGAACGTGATTTTTATATTGCGAAAGAACTGACAGATTGGTTGTTTTGAAAAGGAATTAATCCTTGAGCTGCTTTTTTTATTTGAAAGTCAACAGAAATTAATTTAAAACGTAGTAATTCAGTTGTAACCAAGAAAGTCAAGACAATAAAGTCAAGTCAAGTCAATAAAGCAGACTTGACTTGACTTGAAAACGGGCTTTACCTTAATAACCATAAGGTTTTGAGTCAAAAGTTCAATTGTGCAAATGGTCAAACTAAAAAGGTCATCCAAACTAAAACGTCAAATATCACATTTAACACATTGAGCATTATAAAACCACTCTGACATACATCAGAATAGCAGATTTTAACTGAAATGTGAAACACTTTATCAGACTGGGGCAAGTTGTCACATGTTTTAAATGTAAATACATATACTGTAAAACATGGCTTTTTTTTAACTTAGGACAGCAGATTACAGTTCAGTAAAGCTATTGTTCTCAAATTAGTTGTCAATAAACAGCCGCCTGTTGACAACTTACCCCATACAGAGTGTGACAACATGCCCCGCTATAGACAACACAGTGCTATACAGCCTTCAATGATCTTTCCTCCTGTAAAATGTTAATTTTTTTGTGTGCACTTGAGACTTTAATGTTCGTGTGTACGCAGAAAGTGACTCGAGACCTGAGATATATCAATGGGAGTAAAAAGTGTGACAACTAGCCCCGGTCACCCCTACAGATAAAGAAGCCTCTGCTCCGTGGCTTTCTCCTACCTGAGCAAACTGGAGAGCGGGTGGGAAGAGCTGTGCCCGCCGCTCCCGACATTCCCGGAGGATCCAGAACCACCCGCAGCGGCCGAACCGGACGACTGTCTCTTCGCGGACAGGAGCTTCTCAACGGCGGCCAGATTCCCGGTGCGCGCCGCCTCCAGCAGCTCCTGCTCCTTCCCCATCTCACCGCGAGCAGGAGGAGCGGCGGAGACACGGTCACACGGCCTCACGAACCCACTGCACGCCTCTCCGACGCCGCAACACGCATCCACGCGCCGCACGACGCGCTCTCTTCCTGCTCCGGTCCGCTCGGTCCACCAGCGGCGGCTGTGTCAAGCTTCTTCCCGCTCCAAGCGCAGCCGCTCCGGGGAAACTTTCTCTCGCTGCGCCGCACAAACTTCCTCTGGCACGGCTCGACACGTCACTTCCTCGACGGGTGCGTTCCTCGGTGACGTCGCGAATTATGCACATCATTAATTACACTAATGACGGTGAACTGCATTTAGGGGATTGAACTCGATGGCGCAGCCCTCGTCTGATCACTCATCCTGACATCCTGACATCAGTGCCAGAAGAAACCGTGACAGTTTACCAGGGATTTATGGAAACCTGCTTCAGTTGGGAAAGAGTCTCTTATAAAGTGAATCATCATGAACAGTGGCAGCACAGATTTATTTTCTTTGTAATTTCATAATTAAGTCCATTTTGAAGATTGTAATGTTATATCGATGCTGAATGATTAAAATGACCCGAAGAAAGCGTTGAGTTTTGATTGATTTGGATGAAGCCTTTAGGATGATCACTGATTCACCGCCAACATACAGAGATATTGCAGCAGAATTTGAACAGAACAAGATGAAATGTATGAATTAGGCCTAATTTTTGTCAGAATTTACTGATTAATTAAAAGACTAAATATTCACTGAAAGAGACTTTGATTTAAGTACACGTTCTCTATTGAAATTTGATGCGAAGAGCATCATATAAAATAACATAATTTTTGTGTATAATTTAAAAGTAACAATTTATGCATTTATTTATAAAGCCAATTTTTGATAATACATAAATTCCCGTTGTCTTAAAACAGAAACACCGAAATAGATTAATTTAGCGGAATGGATGATCTATATATCTCAGTGGTTAAAAGGGGCGTTTATATTATTAAATAGATCTAAACATTAATTATATTTGAACACTTTAGTGTGCATTTTTTTACTCAATGCATATTACAATTTCTGAATTGTAATTTTCTAAAACGTTTAACTTTTAGGCGCACAAAAATTGCTCAGACCCCTGCTGGAGTAAAACAGAGCGTGTCACGTGGCATGTGTTTCTTATCTCAGCGCCCGTCAGGATGGACCAATCACAGACGATTAGATTATGTTTATTGCTTTAAAAAAAAAAAAAACATTTTAAAAAGCAGGTGCGAATCCTTGGAAGTAATATATTTCAACGATCATAGTTATTTTAAACGGCCATTGTACAAATATCTGCAATTAGACAAATAGTTTGTATGATTTGAATGCGTTTGAATGGATGATCGGGCTTGTGAGCTTCTGGTCCGTGTCGGCCATGCAACAGTTATTATAAAGTAAAGAGCGCCACCTAATGGTTGGGTCATCGACATCAGTGGTTGAAAATAATTTGTGGTTGTGGACTCTTATTTTGGGCTGGTTTACCAACCGCCATAAAACATCTAAAGAGGAAGAAGAAGACTCTTACTTCATGAGAATATAAGGAATAATTGAATGTAATTTTATTTATTTATTTTTTATATATTTATATATAAAGCCTTCTCATTGTCACTCCACACTCCAGTTCAGTTGGTTGTTTTGTCTAACAAGTTGTTTCCAATTAAGACCCAGTCAAATGTAAGTATATGCACATACCTACCTTGATTATTACCACGTTTTCTTATAGTACCATGTAAATGTATCGAAATGCCATGCTATCGCAACAGTATCTTGTTCAAAGGGCGCTTTCACGAATGGGAAAATCACATCTAAGAATTAGAATCACTTCAGTAACCCATGGAGAAATACAGGTTTTATTTTGTCAACACAAGAATAGAATATATTATTAGGTAGTGGAGAAAATTATGCATTAAATAGAAACCTGTTTGGAGTGGTTTTTGGGTTCACGTCTGCTGAGCATAAACTAAGCGAGTTTATTTATTATTCTTTATTTAATTCACCTCATCTGACATTAATTAATCTGTCAGCCAAAGCATGGCAGACCCGGCCCGTGTGAGGACCGAAGCGGGGTTCGGCGAGGCGAGCAGGCCCGCGGAGAGACCCAAGCCGGGCGAGGGGTCCGGGGACGCCCCGGGGAGCAGCAGCACCTCCTCTGAACCCGCTGCGGTGCAGACCACTGCGAAAGAGCAGGGCAAAGCGGTGAGTCCGTTTGTTATTCCTGAAGACTTGAAATTATTCGATAGAAAAGCTTTTAGTCATGATTGATCTGATTGTGCTTCAGAGATCTGCTGCTGCTGCTGCTGGTGAAGAAGAGGAAGAGGGATCTTCATCACTTCATCCTCCTCCTGCCAAAAAACTGAAAGTGGAGCATGACAAGAAAAAGGAGAAGCGGCAAAAAGTTGATGAAGATGAAATATAAAAGATGCAGTAAGCTTCATGTTTGATTCTTGTTTATTGTGTTGTATGTGCTACTCTGGATTAGGATGCAAAACTCCTCATTTGTGTTGCACAGAGTTTTAGTATCATCATTCTCTGAAGAACAGCTGAACCGCTATGAGATGTACAGACGCTCGGCTTTCCCAAAGGACTGAAAGTGGAGCATGACAAGAAAAAGGAGAAGCGGCAAAAAGTTGATGAAGATGAAATACAAAAGATGCAGTAAGCTTCATGTTTGATTCTTGTTTATTGTGTTGTATGTGCTACTCTGGATTAGGATGCAAAACTCCTCATTTGTGTTGCACAGAGTTTTAGTATCATCATTCTCTGAAGAACAGCTGAACCGCTATGAGATGTACAGACGCTCGGCTTTCCCAAAGGCAGCTATTAAAAGAGTAAGTGGAGCAGTTAGGAAATCCTAAAGAAATGTGTATAAGATTCATAACTGGATCCAATAAGAGTAAAAACAGATTGTACTGGGTAAACTAATATCTGTTCTTATTGTTATTTAATACTTTGAGACTTGTTGGATACTTGTTAAGAATTGTTATCAAAGACCTGTTTGTACTGAAATGTCTAGCTGAGTAATGAAATGTGTTTATGCGGTTTAAGGTTAAAAAAACACATTATTTTCCACATACTGTACATTATTGTTTCTCCTCTATGCCCCGCCTTTCTGAAACGCGTCGATTTTTACAAAGCTCATCGGTCTGAAAAGCGAGGTGTTCCCTCCCAATAATTATTATTATTTTTATTATTACATTTCTGGTGTGTTTGGAATTGACTGTTGTTGCCTTCAGTTTTGTTCATGATGTTTACAGTAGAGGATGCAGTATACATCTTATTTTGTCCACAGTCTGTCCTCTGGAGCAAGTGTCCAAATTAAAAATAACATCACAACAATAAATGAATGTTAATAGAGATATTTAGGGTGGTAAATATTGCACAATGTCTCAATGTAACTCAAATGTCAGTACATCATAGAAATGTCTGGACTGACTGTCATTTTTTATTTTTATTTTTATTTTGTATGTTTTGTAATGTCTGGTTATTTTGAAAACTCTGCAGATACATTATGTGTAATTATATTGTGTGCATGGAAATATAAAAATGTAATCTTTTCACTATTCTTTGAAAGAATTAAAAAATTTAATATTTTGTCAAAACCTGCAATTTCCTTAATCATAGGAGCAGACAATCATAATAAAGGCACAATATGTAAGATTTTTTTATTAAAATATCCAAAAACCACTAGAACAGTGTTATATATTTTGCTGACTTGTGTACTTACATTATCCCAAATGTTTCGAAGAATGTTTAAATCCAGAGAAATAAGCAATTTTAACTAGTGATACGGAGCGTGTCTATAGTGTCATTGCTCAGTCATGGCGTCATCAAACTACGCCTTTGTCTCTGTTTATTTTGAATACGCACCCTCTAGCGGCGAAAATTACCGTATTGTCCCGAATATAAGATGATATTTTTTTCTTGGAAATACATCTGAAAAAACGCGGTCGTCTTATATTCAGGGTCTAGACTTTGACATGTCAATAATACACCCACAACACTAGGTGGCGCCAAACATACTTTCAAAACAAAAATTAAAATAGGAAAAATATGCAATATGAAAGTAATTGAAGACAAAATGTGTTTTACTGAGAAAAAAACAAGATTTTGTTTTTAAAAAGCCTTTTTCCAAAAGGTACGGCTGGAAAAAGGGGGGGTCGTCTTATAATCAGGGTCGTCTTATATTCGGGCCAATACGGTACATATTGTGCCTTTAAGGGGATTTTACTAAATATTAACATCGCTGATACGCAAAATTTTTGGTCAGTGCACTTTGGCGAATTCTCTTATCAGAAACAACAAAGTGCAGATGTACATGCGATGTAAATAAGAGATTAATTCACCATACACTGCAGACAACATCATTGATTATAACATAGCTTTTTTAGAGTGCTTACACTCACGCTAGACTGAATTCAGTGATATTCTTTGATAATGTAAATGTTCTTTGCTTGCTGTATAATTTGTTCGTTGTTTGAATAATCATGGACATGCGGTGTTATAATTAAACTTAAAATGCATTTTTATTAAACGTGATCAGGTTAAATACAAATTCAGTCTTATTAAAATATTTTAGTAATATCGCGCAAGAAAAATACATCCGCACTGGGCTATATATTTCTGGTCAGTTTAATAAATAATTAATCACAAAACTATTACAAAAATAGCTCCAACGGCCATCCTGGATCTGAACAAGTGCCACTCTTGGCCTCCAGCTCCGGCACCAGCCTTAGTGGAAAACACCCGGCACCCCTAGTTCCACCAACGGCCATGCTGGATCTGAACAAGTGCCACTCTTGGCCTCCAGCTCCGGCACCAGCCTTAGTGGAAAAGCGGTAAGAGCGCGTTTATCCAGAGACTAGAGCGCTATTAAAGAGATGTGCTTATGTGATTGACGGTGGCCGTCTTGAGAAGCTTGAGAAGCTTCGGAAAATGGCTCATAAAAAGGACGAGGACGTGAATGGTTTTTACAAGTCGGAATGTAAAATTATAGTAATATCGCGCAAGAAAAATACATCCGCACTGGGCTATATATTTCTGGTCAGTTTAATAAATAATTAATCACAAAACTATTACCACCCGGCACCCCTAGTTCCACCAACGGCCATGCTGGATCTGAACAAGTGCCACTCTTGGCCTCCAGCTCCGGCACCAGCCTTAGTGGAAAAGCGGTAAAGTAGCAGGGTTTCGTTACTGAATGAATGAGCGTTTTTAGTGAATTGGTTAAATGAATGATTCAATGACTCACTCATAAACAGCCACTTGTAATGATGTAACCTGCAGAAAAATCCCCACAACCAATGCATAGACCGTCTCTGGAAGCCCCAGTGTTGTTATCGGTCCTGTTTCAGGCTAGTGTTCAGATGTTTCAGTGACTCTTACAATGATATAGACCTTATGTGTCAGAGAAACAAGTGTGCAGCCATTTTTATAAATTTGTCTTTGAACTTCCATTTTTGTGGCAGCTCTATAGCATCACCCATTCTTGTTGGCGAAGCAGAATTGGCAAGATTGTATCTAAAAATAAGTTACTCAACATTAACTTAACTTCCATTTCTCTACAGCAGAATTAGTGTTTCGGACATTTATTCAGATTGATTTTTTTTTTAACAGTAGCTTATAAAACTACTATATTGTTCATTTCTCAGTTGAATAAGTGTATTGATGTACGAGAGAGTAACTGACAGAAGATGCACAAAGTTCAACTTTAAGAAACATTTTATTGATCATCATTGGTCTTGACATTTGCACACAGTTATGGTTCACAGAACCAACAAAATATTAGTTTGTTCGAGGACTTTAAATGTGGTGACAGAAATGGGAATTTACATTAGAATATGGTAATGAAGAGATTAGAGGTCAAACTAAACCCATGAATTTCAACCATAGCAGGTCTTGAGGGACATGAACAGTGATGAACACGTACCATTACAGACATCAGATAACCAAGCACAACTCAACAATTCACAACTTCCCATAAACCTGATAATCGTACAATCGTACACTGTATCTGCTGCACAAAACATTCTGCTCGGAGACAAACCACATATCCGGCTTTACTCTGGATATGACACATGAAAATGCAAACGGTATCAGGTGTCCACCTGAATCCATATTTATGCAAAGAAATGCTTTAATATAAGAATTTTCTCTAAAGATCCCTTTGATGAAATAGAGAATTGTTGACAGTAATAATAATAATATGGATGGCAGCTCAGATCAATTAGTGAATTTGAAGGGAAATGTTCAAATTCATATTGAAATCTGACTTTTGATTACAGACTTTGGCATCTTGGAGAATATGAGCACAATTTTGAGATCTTTTGATGATCGTGCATGTAAGGACATTTCTGTTTCTTACAAATATATCGCAAAACATTAACGAGAGCAACTTTCATTCGGAGATGAGCAGACCAATCATTCTGTTCTTGAGAAACGATCAGCCACACGGTCGGACACCTTCATGTGTAACAAACAAAACATTCATCGCACTGGACAAATATGATTAAACTGCACGCATAGAAATAGAAGTAAACTCAGTACCAACTACACAGCTAAAACAAGCAATACAATTAGTAAAACCGGGTCAATATTTACCATACGCTTCTTCTGATCACAGGCAATACTCATCAACAGTGTAACAATGACCCTTAAATAAAATCAAATATATAAAAGCCTCACTCAACAGTCTGTGACCCTGATGATGTTGCACTTGTGAAAGATTTCAAGTAAAGTCATGCATATAACATCAACAAATTTTTGTTTTTTTTCCCTTCCATGCACTGAATGAAGTTATTTTTGATCGTAGGAATAATATTTCCATTTCTACCATCTACAGAAAAATGTCTTTACAGTTTAGACTATCGTAAGGTTTTTGGAAGACAGGAATATCTTGATCACTAACAGATTGTTTAGTGTATATGAATGCTACACATTGCACTGAAAGCTGAAGCACAGAGACACAATGAGACCCTGGAACTCTACAGAAACAGAAACAGAAAAAGCACTTTCAAAGTCAATAATGATGGGCCACATTTGAAATCCCCGGACACTTGCTGATAAAGCAATCCAAACATTCGAAGAATGAGAGGGGTGTCGATATCACATAAAGGTCAAGAGGAGCCACATTCATTCAGCTGTTTTCTATAAACCCACAAACCATCATGCCTCACAATACTGATTTACCACAAAAAATGAGTCTTGTGATAGTCCTAAACAATACAGTACACACCAGAAATGTGTCAAAATGCTGTAGCACCTGTAGTTCGATTCGTTTTTTTGTGCAGGACATCACACAGAAACACTCTTCACGTCATCCTTTCATCACAACTCCTAGTTAAACATTTTAAAAGGGGGTTAGAAAGGACAATTTGTAAATAACAATAATAATAATAATAATAATAATAATAGTAGTAAAACTGAAATGTATCATCCCAACCCAACACTAAAACTTAAATCACTTCCATTATTTTTTTACATTAAACAAAAAAAATTGTCCATTTCATTGATGCAGTTATTAATGGACATCCAATCTCATACTAATAAAGTTCAAATAAATATGCATACACATGAATAATTAAACT